TAACTCGCAAGAATGCCTAATGACTTCTTAGAATTTAAAAATTTTCTTCCACGAAATCAAATTTTGATAAAAAGTATTCCGAAGGAAAAAACAGACTTAGGCGATACTCCCAAAAACTCTGTTTTCTAGAACTTTTTCGTCTGGTTTTCCTCTATACCGTCTTTGAAACCATGCTAACAAAAAGCGCGTGGGAATTCGCTGACAATAAAACTGTGTGATGTGCCTTGAAGGAAAGAAGTATTTAAAATCAGTTATTTATCTCCTGCTTCATTCTTTTGATTAAAAATTTATCTCTATTTATTTTGTCGCACTTACGTTCTAAATTTTGGCTTTCTCGCACAGCAGCTCCTGGTTGTATTTTTGTTCATAAAATGATATCATGCAACCCTATCCAAAATAAATATTAGATAATTCGAAAGCAATAATTAGAAATAACTGAGGACAATCGACGGTTTCTTGACGCATCCACTTTAAAGTAGCTCTCAAGAACTTAATCCATATATCCAGATATAGTTTGATGACTCTCTTGGTCTCCCTTCAATTGTTCGATAACCACCAATAAGCGAGCGAAAGAGCAGCCCGGAAACGATTCCATGGGCGTAATGTCAACTGGATTCCAGCTCAGTGGAGAAATTCATTTGAGTGTGGGAAGTAATCTGGAATGGTATTTTTTCTGTATTAATTTGCTGTGACTGGTCAGGCAGAATCTCGCGCCTTATTCTCAACCAGATAGCAAGAAGTTAAACCTAATCGCGATTAGAATATATTGTGCAAACAAGTCGCAGACAATAAGCCGCATTGGCTTTGCACCTTACTTGTACTTCGTGTGATACCACCTTTAACCTCGATAAAGACAAATAATATGTTCAAAAACCGGGCACCAGCCCCTTTCGTTCTTAACTTAGTTAGTCATCTTCTGTTTGGTTCTAACGCATAAGTAACTTCATTCACTGAAAAATGTCGCGCTCTAAGCCTCATACTAACAGTTCATGACACTTCCATACGGTTAGGTGTGTCTGCTTTGAAACATGTATTTTCTGACCAAACAAAGAGTGTTTTCAGTGTAAAATGATTTTATTTGAAAATTTTCTCCGGTTATTATCATCAGAGCTCTTGGCTTAAAACGATAAAAAGACTAAACTAGTTCCCAACGACCAGTACATCTTTCCCCGATAGAATTTTTAACAC